AGCAGCAGACGCTCGGGTCTCGAATGCATACTTACTGCAACGGGAATTTCTTTGTGCCGATATTCCACCCAATAGCTTTCTCCTCTACTATTACGGGTTTTCAGAGGCGGCTTGAAGGTGTGAATGCGAATCAGATACTCGGGTTAGTTCTCAGATTACTTCGTGCTACTGTACTTGTTTGAGTTTACGAATTAGGCATCGTGTTCTTGTGGTAATGGCTGAACCATCGACGCATGACAAAACCAAGGAACACGGAGTAATCATTTACACTAACAAGTTTGTTTTATACTATTGCGCCATGTATAGCGTTCATTGCACGAAAACTTCCCGCTTCGGAATGTTCCTGTCAGAAGACTGAATTCGCCCATCTTTTATGTAGCATCGGATGGGAAAACTCGGTGCATGCACAATCAGCTACATTCTGTCTTAGCACAAAGTGAAGTCAAAGCGTCAATACTAAACTAAGATGCGTTCTATTTCAAGAATTATTACCGAATAACCATACCTCTACAAGGGCTACCTCTCGAAAGTGCCCATTGTGTAGACTTATCACGCCTGATCGCCTAAGAGCGTGGCGTTATTACAGGGTGCTTTCCCTTAGATTTAAATGGTTCACAAAAAGTGGCTGGATTGGTGTTTAATTTTATAGAATAAACGTGTGGCTGCTGACATACCGGACAACTTCATTTGTCGGTCGTAACGAGAAGGTGGGAAAGTTCCTTATCAAAGTGAACGGGTGGACTTTGATGAGAACGAAAAAAGACAGTCACCATAGGACTGCGAGACGGAGAACTTCAGTGAATATACAGTAGGGCTTGACATTGTCGAAGCCAGTCATGGTTCTTCCGGAGTCATTCAAGGTAGAATGGCCATCTCAAAAGTAAAACAACGACTGTGGTCAACTTTCGCTCAGCGGATTCGTTTACATGGTCCGTTGGGAATAATTTAAAACCGCCTGCGCAGACACAAAAACCAGACGACTGATCTAATTTAAATGAGATCGGAGTGCTCTCTTAGTGCAAGTTTGGTATCACGTTATAATTGTCGGGGTATTCACTGATCACTTCCATTCTTCCATTCAAACAGCTTGTGTGACAACAACAACTGACTACTAGCAAATCTACGGTGGAATCCACAGTGTTCTGTTCCTCCAAGCGCGTATTAATTTTCTACGAATTCTCTCTATTTGTTCGCACTATGAGGTGGCATGAACCAATGTACCGGAGTGCCAAGTGTCTGATAAAGAGTGTGAATCGTGCTCATCTGTTAATTACGGTGTATGTTGTGTGCAAAGGAGGGTTGAAAGACAGCCGAGGTGCTCAAATGGGCCAGAAAAGCATGGAAGCAAGTCGAGGAAAAAACGAATCCAGCGCTCAGTGTATTACAGAAAACATGTGGTCAGAGACGAAAAAATTTCATCAAAATATGGAAAGTAGAGGTAGTCGGAATAAGATGAATTCCAATGTTGTGGAATGTAGGTAGCTCGGGTGCGCTGTTTGGTTGTGGGTTTAAGTCCCTTAATAAGCACGTTTTCTTCCGCTGCCGTGAGTTGTCTTCTGGAGAGGTTCCTGATCCATGCTTCGTTTTCGGTATGCTCGGTTGGCTTGGTTAGTCTGTAGAACTTGCGCTCAAGTGTGGCTCGTTTCTTCTCAATAGTGTGTCGTACTCTACGATCAATGGCTTCACTGAGTTGTTCTATAATTTCGGGCCCCACTGTTCTCAGGCATGTTCCTCTTTCTTCGTTGAGGACCCTCTCGTATTTTCTCAGTCGGCTGTGAGCGTCTGTGATCATCAGCCTGATCATACGCCTACCGTTCTGCCTAGCGAGCTTCCACGCCTTAGGATGGTTCAGTGGTGGTCGGTAAGATACACTGCGTGGTAATGCTTTTTGTCGCGGGCATTCGTGGAGGAAGCGAAGCTGTTGTCGGGTGGAAGCCATTCGCCATGCGAAAGTCTTCCATCGACGAGCTGCTTTGAGCGTAGAACGCCCGAAGGTGTTAGCAATGTTGTGGAATGTAGATAGCTCGGGTGCGCTGTTTCGTTGTTGGTCTGTTCGCCGAGTTTGGCAGTTGGATTGCAAACGTTTCATCACCAATCGAGGTGACATCGTCACTGCAGGGTTTAGTGGGTCATTCGTGGAGGGAGCGAAGTTGTTGTCGGGTGGAAGCCATTCGACATGCGAAAGTCTCCCATCGACGAGCTGTTTTGAGCGTAGGACGCCCGAAGGTGTTAGCAATGTTGTGGAATGTAGGTAGCTCGGGTGCGCTGACGATGTCACCTCGATTGGTGATGAAACGTTTGCAATCCAACTGCCAAGCTCGGCGAACAGACCAACAACCAAAGATGAATTCCAATTTGATGAGTCTAAAACAGACGCGATATGGTATTTGAGGGAACGGAGCAAGCAGTGTGCTCAATAAGTTCACTTGAAAACCCAGAAGGCAACAAACACAACTATGAGCAGATGATCAGGTGGGTCACCCGACCGCACATTGATGACGTCTGCTGGAACGGCGACGAAACGCCTGAAAGCCCATAACCAAGCTTGGCGAACAGATCAACAGCCACCTGATCAGCTACTGATGAAATTAGTTGAGCTACCAATATTGTAACACATCGCCAACACAACTATATGAAACGGCACGCTTACCCTCTGGCGATAACCATATCCGCTGAGTTATCCATACTTAGACAAGGCGTTTCAGTAATCGTTGGTTCCCACAAAAGATCGACTTAATTTCAAGCATTCGGATTGAAGTAGACAGTTGTGGTGTGCACAGTACGGACTCATGACCGGGGATGGATGGGCTGATGACGCAGTGCTGTGGTACCTGATCTTAAGGGCAGCTAATTAGCCTTGATGAATACAAACTCATGTTTGATGTCGACCCAAAATAAGGTAGGAATACTCATTAAGTAATCACTAGATAATATGAGATCACAGACTAGACTAGAGTCCTGTGAGGTACCAGTTAGTTGTTCAAAGGCTAAATTATTCTCATTGTTGATAGAATCCAACGGCAGAAAAAAGCTGCAGAGCAAGGAAGTATAGGCCTTAAAATTCTCGAAATACCACACAGGGAAACTTGCTAATGATAAATTAGGTCATAAATCACAATGATGCTGCTGTCGACTTGTACCAGTTCCTTGGTTGTATACAGTATCAGAGAAGCTATTTGATCATTTGTGAATCCCAACGGTTCGAGCCTTGTACAGCGTTTCTGGTTCCTAATCAAGTGGGATCAGCTTATCAACGAGGAGCATCATACCGATGTATCTGGTTAGGTGGGCACTAAAACGGCCAAGGTATATTTTCATGGTTCTAATGAAAGTCTAACTGTAGCTATGAACTTTTACAATCGCCTACTGACATTCTGCGATCACCTGCCTTTGGAAATACTCTTGCCTAGACCGTCAATAGGAGACCAATTAAGTGTACGTCATTACGGTAGAACTTTTATGGGTAATTCCATGTAATTAGTCCATCCGGGAGCTAAAAAACCATAGCAGAAAACGTGGTTTCTTCCTACTTCCCGGACGATCATGTGCTAACAGCCACGTGAATTAGTGAAAGCACAAATCGAACTTTTTTTAGTTCTGGGTTCACAAAGATTACTTGAATGTATGAATGGAATTCCACATAGCTGAAAAGGCATGTTTGTCAGCGCATTTTCAGCGTCGATGCACCGAGATACCAGCAACCTTGAACTTCCAGTTGTGAAAGTAACTTAATGGTGTACAAAAAGTACTAAAAGACTGATCGATTTGTAGAACTATGCATCAGGCCTAATTGCGATTCCGATTAGGATATTTCTAGCCATTCCGTGCGAATCGATCAACGCCGGAACATTCGAAGGCAGACGAGAATTCCTTAGATAGGCTTCCGGATGAAATCAGCCTACTCGAACTGGCAATCATAAGATTGTCATTATTCTCGTGATAGGATAGTTTGTCTATCAAAAGCCGTTATTTTGAATCATTTCGATTGCAAGCTCCCTCCGTAATGAGAAAGCTCAACCTGTTGGTTTGGTGATCTCTCTCTGGTGAACGGCTGTACCTGTCACTATTGTTGTCCTTTCCATAGAATCTCTTGAAGACCCGTTCTCCAGCCTCAACACACATGGTTCACTTGATACCAGTGCCCTTAAAACTACGATATGGTTCTTTTTCAATCCAAGTTTGCCTCTCTTGGTACGAGCAAAATCTGTCATCATCAAGCAAACGTTGTTTAACCGAACACTAGATACCAAAACAAAGGAAGTAGCGTAAGCATGACATGATGGAGGATTTGGTTAAACAGACGGTAAATTCAGCAGAAGTATCCTTGTCTCCACATTTCTACAGGTTTCTGGGGAGTTGTCATTGCCACCACCAGTGAAAGGTAGCATGCACCACTATGGTGGTGACATCGCAGTGGCTTTGGATTCTGTATACAAGATGCCATCTTTGGGATGAAAGTGTATCAAATCTTGGACAAAATATCTCCGAGTTGTTGGCTGATATGTATGGGACAGTAATTTGAGCTTCGGCTAACTTGTCAATTTCAGAGGGGAACGATGGAAGGCATAATGAAGGAAAAAGTGGATAAATCTGAGAAGCGTTATCAAACCAATTAAATTACAACGACATTTCATGCACTGTTGGTTTAATTTAGCAACCTGCAGGCCCTTTTTCTTCCTACGTTTGAGTGCCACCTAAAATCTATAAAGCTTCCTGTCCATATCTTCTTAAGAACAGCGTACAAAAGCCACTGATACGTGGTAGTTTCTAATTTGACAGTCAAAGGGTTGGTCCCCTAGCTCGTTTTACCGATTTACGTCACAAACTAATGTTTCTCTGGGCTTAGCATAACATGGCATAACTCATCGTTTTTACCGCGTTTTTTCATCCCAATCTTTTCTCGTTCTTCGTCAACTGCCAAGGGATTTTTAAGAGACCGACTTCCCGGTTCTCTTACGAGTGACGACTCTTCCGTGTCTCGTTCTTTGTCAACTGCCGAAGACTGATTTCTCAGTTTCCTCAGGATTAGCGGCCTTTCCGTATCTGCTTGAATGCCACACGTGAGTCTCGGCTACTTGACATGAGACCTTCTGATAAGATGCCAATCAGAAATTTAGGATGGATACGAAATTTATTTCCACACTGGTATGAGGAACACGGTTTCCACAAAATGAAACATCAGTTTTGTAACATTGAACCATTTATCTACCATCTGCTCTTAGCGACGGTGATTGAAGTACTGAGCAATCGAATGAAATCGTGAATTAAACCTAGCAATACGGGAACACACTTTGGTAAATGTCAGGCCACTAGCGTCGCCTAGTCAACACTGACTGTACCATGTTTATTTTAAGGGGCTTTCTGTCTTTTAGAATCCCAAAACTCAGAACTGAATACTTTCCTTCTATTCCTGAGCATTTTCTTGACTTGCAAAGTAAAAACTGTACACTATTTTGGTCATTCCCATACATTTTTTGGTTAGCGGGTGCAAAGAAAAGAAAGCAAAACCTTAGTAAGCAAGCTAACTTTAATCAATTGGCCAATACAAAGAAAACTTTCAGTTCTCTCTCTAAGCGTATCACTTAAACTTCGAAGGAATACCTGGTCGCCGATTTGACGTTGATTGAGTCTTAGTTTTGGTCTGTGGATCTCCTTTTGGGACAATAAGAGATTGTCAAAACTGCCGTTCAGCGCCTTTGATTCCCACTCTCGTATGATTAAAGTGAGTGGCAGAAATAGGTGTGTGCTTTCAAACCCGGTTGGGTTAAACACCCCCCAGTCACACATCCATCTAGAGTTAACGGGAGATTCAACTGAATCCAGATAAATGTCGCGTTTAGGATGATCTTCTTCAGCTGAATGTGCTGCGCAAGGCCGCCTCATGTTTTGATGAGCACTGCACTATCTGGAAGTAGCACGCTACTTATAAGGTTGCTGAAAACTCTCCGCAGAAGACCAGCATAGGAACGGGGGATTCAGTCGGAGTTAGTTAAATATCCTTTTAAAAGCACAGTAGTGTAAAAACGAAAGTATGTTTATCCAAAGTAGGTTCAAACAAAACATAAGGTTGACGGAAACTGGTTAACTGCGCCTACAAGGTGAGCCTGTCATTGACCGTCGAAGAGTTTTCAACAACCTAATGAGTACTGCGCTAGAGTTAGATGCATTCAGTAAACTTCGGGGGTTACGACCGTTCTACATCAGGACAGGCAAGAGATAGGGGGTATGCAGAACAGTATAACAAGTTAGAATAATCTTACCTTCTGATCATTCACAGTAAAAAAACCTTTTTGTACAACTCAGTTTTCATTAGAGCATGGTTAGGTAATCGGAGAAGCGGTATTGCGTCACCCTGATATCAAGCATGAACATATTGCGCATTCTAATCACAAACAAGTTTTAATCAATAATTCAGTCTTACTATTTATCAGTTTGTATCACTTCTGCGCATAAATTGTGATTTCGTCTGTGTTCTACTACCCTGAATTTGTTTTGCCTGTATTAAGAGACTTTCGGCAACAAAAGAGTTGAACACAAGAAGTGGCATTTATGAATGCCATTGTCCTATTACCTTCCTCTGGTGTGTGTTCTCAGGACGAACCGCTAGTGTCAACCAACATAAACAGTCAAACAATTGTTTAATCAACTGTCAATTCTTAGTAGCTTTGGCTGTTTGTATGGAGTCACAAAGGCTGCATTTGCATCAGCGCTAATAATTCAGACTGAGGCGATGCAAGACAACCGAGTCTGATAGAGTATCTGATCCGTTTATAAAGACCGTAGTGCTTATCGTCATACATAGCGTGCTAACCACTGGTTGTCATTAGGATGTCACAAGATTCACCTAGAGCCATCATTTGTAGACAGCGTGACCACCCGCTCATCAGATCCACTTGGTTACGTGACGGTGATAGCGATGTTTGACAGTGTCTGCCAGGATGTGATCAATTATCGCCGCGGACAAGTTCGAGGTGTGACCTTGGTGCCAATCAAACGAACTTCAAACACAGTCCTTTGATCTACCAGAAAATTGTTAAGGTTACTATTGTTAAATTTACCGAACCTTGTGCCTGGTTAACAGTGTTTAAACCTAGAACGTATTGTCAATTAGGAAAATGCAGGTAGCTTAGTTCAAACGAAAAATTATGGTCTAGCAGTTGGCTTCAGAGCTGTCCCTTTCTCTTCACCGTCCAGTCTCGTTCGCTTTACACTGGATACGGAGATTTTAGATGGATGCAAGTACAGCTTAGTACAAACCACTGGACTGATATCACCGATTGTGCACGAATGTGCATAGCATAGTTTGATGTGACGTAACAATCTGTACACGGATACCAGTCCACCATAGAGGGCTGGCATTCGGTTAATTGAATATCATAATTTGGCAAGATGTACATTTTGTTATGTTAATGTGCTCATTATGATTTAGCCCTGTTGCATTTGTCGTACGCGTGCCCTATGAGCACAGTCACTAGTCAACTGCTTGGGTGGTTTCACGTGCTCGGATTTGACGTAGCAGACCTAAACACGGGGACATTTCAGAAGCACTCTGAAGACGACGTCAGTAAAGCGTCTTACTTTTGACCTCAGTCAGCGTAGTTCGCCCGTTAGGTTCCAGAGTAGCTGAATTCATGGGATCGATTCCCAGGACTTTTTGGATTTCCTACACAGTGTTACCTCAACATGATGAAGTAACCACAACAATGATTGTGCATCTTGGAACTTGTGCTTCGGAATCAATAGTTTTGGTCTTTTTCCCGTGTAAACAATGACGATCTACTTTCGAAAATCCTCACGGAAGAAATATCTCATTTGTGTATTGGCTCGAATATATTCCTCAATGGTGCACTTTAGGTATGATTCGAAAGTTCATGCCTGTACATCGGTTCCGTGCAACATGGGTTATTGGTGGTTAGAAGTTTACATTAGTTTCTAAATCATTGTTCAGATGAATCCATATCAGTCAAGAGGAAGAATGAACTTCAGTTTCACTCTTATTAACGCTTATCCACAGAGCAAATTCTTGACGTTGGACAAACCAGTAGCGTCACGCAAACGTAACAGGTTCACCTGTTCAGAGTTAGCACTTCAGGTGAATCCACTAGCGGTGTAGCGGGAGCACGATGGACTCTAATGACACGTCCGGAATTTCGACTCCGGCTCCACTAAGGGGCTGCAGTGCTGACGAGCTCTAAGAGTGAAATTTGAGTTCAGTATTTCTCTATTTTGACGTGTATTCACCAGATTAATTGCGTCAGGTCAGGAGGACATCTGTTCAGACCAAACTGCTGTGTACGTGAATTGTACTATTTAGGTTTTTCAAATTTGCCTGCATTTTGAGTACTCTACTATGATAGGCAGCGATTTGTACCTATCGTTTACAGAGTCAAACCAAACGAAAGAAACCTCAAGTCTGAACACATACCTGTCTTATCCACTTTAGAATCTTACGACGCGACTACTGAGGGTGAATTGGCGAACAAAATGCGTGAAAAAATAAGGGTAGCGTTCGTCATTATGATTTGCAAAACTCAGTGCGCCCTCTGCGGAACTTATTCCTCGATGTCGTTTCCTACTCTGAAGCTTAGTTTAAGCCCGGTTTAGAAGCAAATACCTTGCATTCATAAGGGAAAACATCATATTCGACAAGTCCGAGTCTTATCTGGTTATTTTCCGATTCTGACCTCTAACATTCATCAAACATCACGATATCGCCAACAGAATGATAGTGTTACTTTACAGTCATTTTTGTAATTGGAAGATAATATTTGGCCTTGTGTTCGGTCAGAAATGCGGTGCAACTCACGCGGTTTGCTAGAATCCTTGTATCCACAATGTTTACTGCTAACGACACAGTCACCAAGTTGCCCAATAACTCATCACTTTTGCTGAACTGAACACGAGTATGACAGTCTTTTGCTTTGCTCGTCAACTTCCTCAAAACGTCGCGAAATGTCGACTTGCACTTCACAGCTTTGGGGTCAACGATCTCAAAATTTCTCAACTGCACCTATAGAACTGAAGGCACGTGTTACATCGTGGCGTTAAGTTTGTCAGTAAAGAAACTACGAGAATTACAAACACATCTCAGCCACAAACAATGTTCAGTTTTTGTGGACTGGTCACTTTGATTTGCTAACAGTCAAGTATTCAGGTCAAGTCATTGGTTGCTTAAGTCATTAATGTAAGCACTTATTCATTACTCACGATGACAGCAGACAAATTATATTTGATAAGATGCGATACATCACAGTCATGCCCATAACAGTACACTGAAAGACGCTTCTGTTGAATCCGATTAAGTTTATCGAGCAAGAAAGCCGAATGTTAATGGTGAGTATTGCGGCATATAGTTCTTGATATTGTACTGATATTGTATTTGAAGTCAGCTGGTAGTTGAAAGATCAAAATTTACGGAATGATCTACAGCAGACAAGATTTTTGACGGATAGTTATCGCGAACTATGATATTACGATCAATTAGGGAAGCAAAAGAGGAAGTCGGAGAAGTTCCTACATCTAAACGTCAACTTAGGAGAGTAAAATAACGCCATTGCAAAATCTTTCTCACCAGTACGAAAAGCCAAGGAGCGCGTGACATCGTCAAAGTAGGGGAAAGCATGGAAGTGTGAACCTTTTAATAGGTCCACTGAGAATGGAATAGCTCTAAAACGAATGCATAAAGTGAACGGAATTTTGTTCTGTCAAATATAGTGTGAACGCGTTCAGACCGGAAAAGGTGTTGGGCTTTATTAGGACAACTAAGTACTTAACAGTTACGGATTTGGGAATGCTCTAGCCATCAGCGAAAAGTAGGAGGAAGATTACTGGATAAAAGACTTCAAGCAAAATCCAGAAACTTCGGTATAGTTAGGATAATTGATCAACAGACCTACGGGTTAACAAATTTCTTAGAGTATAAAGGAAAGACTAAGGACCATGAGATGGACAACCTATACGTATAGCACCCATATACACTTGTAACGGAGCGTGGTAGCTACAGATGATCAAAATGAAAACGGAACAAACAGGTGATCTGTTTAAACACCCCCAGCTTGATTCCGTAATTATAGACGAGAATGTTGGAAACTCAGTTAGCATAGATGGTCGTTGGTTTGCTCCCTGAGCTGGGCAGTTTGATTGCAAACGTTTCATCACCAATCGAGGTGACATCATCAGGGCGTTGTTAGGGGGCGTAATGGAGCGTAGCGATGGTCTCGTGGTTGTGCTCGTGACTACTCCAGCACCCACTGTCAAGAGAACCACAGGAAATTGCACAGTCCAACAGCAGTTGTCTTAACATCCAATCACCAAATCAATTTGGTTTTCACGAGAGACTCAACTGAATCTCTCGTTTATGGTGTTTTACAACTGAATTTGCTGCACACAGGCCGCCTCATGTTTTATTTGGTACGATATTCGAGATATTGCAGTATATTTTCATGAGCCCCAAGAAGGGCGAAACCGGTTGTGGGCTGTCGAAGAGTTTTCAGCAGCCTTGTGAGTAGTTCCCTTCGTGAAAAAGGGAAGACAGTCATTCAAAGTCGCAAACCGTCAAACAGAGGCCTTTTAGTCGGCTTTGTCATAGCAACGGCGGCTCGATACTACGAACCCGACTTAGGCACACAGCTGGACTTTGTGGCTAGTCTTGACGTGCCTTTGTGTGGTCGGGATTGAATCATTAGAACAATCCTTGTGCTTTTATCCAGGCCCGTTGTGGGCCAGTGACCTTTACTTGCCTGTATTTGTTTGTCTAGGAAAATGTCCTTTGTCTTACCATGACCTTGATTTTGAATGAATGTCAATGGCTGCAGAGATGGCCTAGTTAGATAAAATTCAGTCTATGATGCTTCATCTTGCTCTCAAGATACTCCGCCCAAAGAGCTGAAAGCGTTCCAATTTGAACGCTTCCAGTTTGAATGCGAATAGTTTCAAACAGAAGACAGATCTTAAGATGAAGTTTGTAGTGGTCCGTCAGTTGCTCATAAAATTTTTACTAAAATTCACGAATTTGCTTTAATTTGTGTCGGTTTGGTAAATTTTTGAAAGAAAAATTTGTTATGCACGTAGATCTGGAGCAACTGCGAGAACAAATCAGGAGAGCCTTCCTACCTTCACCTTAGTATAACGCGTCAACGTGTTCCGTAATGAGTGCATCACTGGTGCAAGGACCACACATGGTGGTAACATGTACATGAATACGCACGAACTAGGTGTGCCACAACAATGCGAATCTACTCCAGGTAATCATTCAGTTGGGCCCAATATTCGTTCACAGTTTGACGCAGTCAACTAGTTTTAATAATTGAGCTATGTACGGAACAAAATTTGTAAATCAGTTTGTCACAAGTAAGGAGACGTGCCAAAGGACTTCATTTGTTCGGAGAATTCCGATGCCACGTCATAACACTACCGTTAGATGTGAATCCAACTGGGCGATGCACTAGTGTACTGAAATGGTCAAACTGTGATTCGTTTTTCTATGAATTACACAATATAGTTCGGAAACTAGACAGTCAAAATAAGACAACGCACCCATTCATTATCAAGGGCCTTAAGAAGTGACTTTACACACCAGGAGTATTTACGGAGCACCGTTCCAGTAGAAGGATTTGGATAATCCGGCGACGTCCGCCGGTGCAATAACAGAGACCGATCGAAATGAAACTCCCATATAAATGTATCGAACTATGCTAGGGAGAATTCTAGAAGATTGGAAGTCAAGGCTTATCGATAAACTTTTGATAAACGGGTGTACCTCATCGGCCACAGATAATTATGAATAACTCTGGGGATTGAAGATGCAACGAGGACAAACGGCAAGATAATTTTCCAAATAGTGATGGTTAACTTTTCCACGTGAGCTACACGGACAGCTACAGCAACCCTTAAAAGTCCCATAGTACAGAAATAGTACCGCTACGAGATAACAATCTCTTATGGCACATACAAGGTGATAATTAGCAACATCGGCAATGAGGGTGACAATCGGTTCAGCCGGAAAGTAACGCCCAGTTAGCAAAGATAAACGGAGATGAATTAGTAGGGCAGTTATTCCCCCTAATCACAGGAAAACCCAACCGAAAATGGTCTACTTTCGAAAGTAGTGACACTTGCCCCTTCTCAGGCCGCTCTATTTAAAACGATGCCATACGGTGTTAGGTCAACGACATGCATACAGGTGATCTACAATCTTCGTTTTTCTTGACTTCAAGGGTCAGTTCGATTCCGGGGACCGATCGTTTTTTTTTCAACACGCTTGCAAAACAGTGTATGCCCCATAAATACAGGAGTATCATATACTCTCCATGTTCACATGGTTCTGCGTGCGTGAGAGTGTATGGGTAGCTGTTCAGTAGCCTCCCTACAAGCAGTGAGTTTCGGCAATGATATTCAATCTCCCCATTTTTGTTTGACTTCGCTATTGATGAGTTAATGAGGTGAAAACTACAATGTCTCCAAAGCCTAACTTCAGAACTCTAGGAACGAGAACTCCATCGACCTGGAGGGTGAAGATGACATTGTTCTCACTCTCGCTGAAAAAGCTGACCGATGTCATCCAGTCCTTCTACGAGTGCTTTGTATTCAAGAATTTCGGTTATGCTGCGCGACAGTCTTTCAACCTGCCTGCAGAATTCAAGAAACGGAGTTGTGGAACACCATGCGTATCTCGAAAGTTGCGTTGCCTCTGACGGTAGTGCGGCAGATGAAATTAATGCAGGAAAATGAAAGGCAAGAAATACTTTTGGCAGTTGCGCCCCTCTTGACATCGGGGAGGCATATCATTGGGTCTCGAATGACGCATGTAGTTCGGACCTGTTTTGTTGCATAACTCCAGACTTGACCGCTTCGAGCAGAGGACACGAAGCATCTCCAAATCTGAAGCCATCAATTTCAATCGCCTATACCCATTGAATTCGGAATGAGGTGACCGGGAAACAGGTATTCGGTGAAGCAGAGAGTACTCCACACACCGAACGCAAGAATGGCCTGGATATGTTGTTCTTGGTGTTTAATTCGGGCTGACTCGGGCGTTTGGTGCGGTTCGCCTTAGAGGATGGGGTCCATGTGACCCCCCGTGCTACCTTGCTGACGCTGAACGATTTCGCGGCTAGTCGATGTCGGTGGCGTTCGTGCTATTAGTTTCCATCTAGAATGTTGCAAATGTAGCTGCCTCAAAAGTTTATGGTACAATATCCCTCAGTCTCCTTTCCCACCCAATTTATTCTTCCTTCCGTCATAGGGCCTTATTCAAATAAACTGACATGGTTGTACAGCACTGAAGGCCGTTTTTCCCTCTGGTTTTGTTGTTAATGTTGAAGATGACTAAAAAGGTGTTTGACAAATCTACCCGCGTTTGTGCCGTGCTAACGTATTCTCGTTGCTGGCGTCTACATTTCCTGTTCACCATTTGTATCAGACCTATTCCCATACACCCACTGGTTTGCTGCATCCGTGTGGCGGTGCTCTCCACTCCACACACCCAAACGCATTGTTAGCCGCCTGCGTGCCTTCCGATCTTGCGACTCGATAATTTTCAGCGTCCCAGTTGGTCTTGTATTGTTCATTTACTGCTTTATGATTAACTAGTGTATACACTAAACGCCCATTGGTTCTAATACCGGCATTGGCGTTGCCTCTCTCACACTGCTTCATCGGGACAGATTCATCAGACTGCCATCCATGGTGTCCCCACATAAAAAGCTGTTCGACGAGACGTTGAACATCCTTTCAAATCTATCAGAACTCCAGGAGGCCCTGGAACAGGTACACAATCAACGCTGATACGAAATCGAACATTCTTCTTACGGAAGGGACCAAGAAACTGTACCACTAGAAACTTGCGTACCACAAAAGCCTACCCTACAGTATGTCGAGAATAGTGGGCTCCTGTTGCTAATCTTCCATCTGCTAACCAGATGAAGTTATGGATTTATTCCTTAGCTTCAGCCGCAAGCTATGAAGTGTAATTTTGTTGGTAAGTTGTCCGACCGAGGGGTGCGACAGAAGTCGTTGTGCACACATCGATATTCAGGCACCATGTGGACAGTATAACAATCTAAACGTTGTGACTTCTGAAATCAGTGCTCCTTATGGGGTATAGGTTCGCAACATTCCCGAATACAATGCGAACGAAGTCTGGTGTGACTCGCACTCACACCAACAGTCCGAATAATCACACAGGTTCTGATGGTACGGATGTAGAGTTTCACTTCTGTTATAAATCCCACTTTCGTAATACTGTTAATGGTATTGCGGTACGACTGGACACATCAACGTAAGCCAGCATTGCCGAAGGTGAACCATTGCAGCACTGCAATTTCGTTTAGTTGATGGTCGAATTCTTATCTGACCAGGGTGCTTTGTTCACTGAGGATAGTTGGCGTGCTTTGTACAGTAGTTGAGACTGATCGGATTCTCTTGGATAATGGACGTTAAAACATAAGGTGTGTAGCGCCGCAGTATTGCTATCTAAATGATTCTTGACGGTCCATTAACTTCAGTACAATAAAAGATGTTGGTCACACAAATTAGTCAGCGCAAAAGAGGAACGACATCGCCCCCCGAGAGAGGGCAGTTTCAGAACAGCTCCGAACTCAAAACTGAGAAGTTGGAACTAGCAACTTTTTTTCTAAAACTGACATCGCTAAAGCCTACCTGCAAAATCCACTGAATGACGGCGTTACATCATATGTATTATAGTAGCCCAACTTCTCCCAACTCGGTTTACGCACTAGTAGATGGAACAATAAATCGGATTGATGGCAAGGACTTACCAGAACAACAACAACAACGGATAGGTTAAGGTGAGTAATTCCATCCTAAAGCTGTTGCAAGAAGAAGGATTTCCTCAACAAGACTGAAGGTTTTGTGTACAAGGATGATCATTCTTAGGATCCAGGGAATCATCTGACCCCGATTCACACAAACCACTTAGAGGAAATAGGCAGAGTGGTACTAACCCCGTTATCATCGCGGCAATAGGATAAACAGCGTTTTGCAATAGCAAATTCTAAGATAGGAACTGAATAAATCATCACAAAAACAGCGGAAAGGAAGTCACATGAAAATAAGAGTTGGGATGGAGGGTCAAATCATTTTTAACATGGTCAACTGCATGATAACAGGATACGATGAGAGAGAAATGTTCACATGCTGCGGAGTTTGAGGTAACCTAAACGAACAATAGCAACTAACGAAATCAGATGTGGAAGAGGGTTGGGTGGCACAAAGTGGGTGTCAAATAGCGTCCGAAAGAAGAACACAATAAAACGACTGAAAAGAGTGAAAGAATGGCACTTTTGATGGATGGATTTTGACATTTTCTTTAGTATTCTTCGTCTATCTAAGAATGGTATAGTGGGAGATATTAAAGTAAATAGTGAAAAATGAGGAGCAAAAGGTAGAGAGGGAGATGGATTGTACGATCAGAGAAAATGGGCGTCATGTAGAAAGTTTGAAAAACAGTTGGGGTTGGTCATCTTCATCGTACTCATCCTCCTCCTCCTCCGGTTCGGCACTCAGTCGCATCTGCGCAGATGCTGACTGTCGGGAATTTGGCAGAGGAGCCGAAAGACCAGTGCTGGTAGGAGGCACACGCGGCATTGTGCCTAAGATGCGCGTTGCCTCGCGCAGTGTAGTCTGAATAGGTGTAGAAATAGATGACAAGGTCAACTGCCCACGTCAGATACATTCATTAATTTCAAACTCAATGGGGTTACGTAGCCCATAATAGCAGAACTTTCGAAACATGTGCTTCAGAGAACTGGTGACACGAAACGACGGGTTAACATGCTTCACAAACCGAGATTTTTGAAGCAGACAGAAAGCCCATCAGTTGCCAAGTAACATGTTCCAGTGAATTGTCAACGATAACGGAGCACTGTCAAGTACATCTCCATTGAAGGAGATCATCCAAAATGGGAACCACCTATCTGGAGGGATCCACAGAAGCGTCACACGCCAGGGTGATCCTGTAAAGAAATACAACTATCCATGCTTGAACGTCTACGAGAATTTCAGCACTCCATCGGGTTGCATAGCATTCGTGCATCGGAAGGAGGACATGGTTGAATGATCTCTCGAGTTGCCGGTGACAACTGTCAGAAATAAGCAATCGACAGAACACAGACTAAAGAAATAATATGGTGGGTTTTCTATACTTTTTCATGCCATGAAGCCATCAAGCTCTTCAAAAGATGCCTCAGTAAAACTCCAAAGATGACTCTATGAGAATGTGCCGACCGAAATCAAGGGGGATGCAGTACGAACTGCTGGCATGGCTCCGAGGTGTTTTGAGTCATCTTAGCTTGAAATCTGTTCACCTTCATAGTTTCATCGGGATGCTTGTGGATTACTGCCAGGTGATGTCAAGCATCTCATAGAGACATCTTTTTAAAAGTGCTATGTCCTAAAGTGAGAAAAGTACCAAGAAGGTGGTACTACCGAGATATGAGGTAATTCACCTTGAAAAATTGATAAGACTATAGCAACACAAGATACACTAGGCTCTGTTAGGCAAGTGGATGAACTGCACTCGGATTCTCATGTGTCCCTAAAGATTTAGCACACGGTTAAAGAACGTTAAACAAACGACACGACATTCAATTTCAATCCAAAGGTTCTCCCTGAAGCTATCTAACTTAGACCAACTGCCCCAAACTTGAGTCAGGTCTTCATTGAACATCGGTTTGTGCAACTTCGAGGCATGAAGTTGTAGAAGTACTATGATGCATGAAAACAGGTGTGTTACGAGAGGTAAAGGGAGGACAACTTGCTCGTTCTGCGAAGGCCTAGTCCATGAAAAACCGTACCCCAAATACAGAAGCAAGCCTTCCCTGGCTCAGTACAAATGGTAGCAAGACATGGACTTACTTGAGCTGAGACAGTTCGCAAAAAACCCGTGTGGGTTTCGTCTGACTCGTTCGAAGCGTCTGTTAGTCCCGGTGTTTGTCGAGATTTGGTCATATCAGGGGCTAAAATAAGAAAAATTGGCACTGTGAAGCATGTAATTGAAACACATGATTATTCGAGAAGGGGACGGTCAGAATATTCTTTTGGGTATAGACACTACTGGAAAAAAACTTATGGCTGCTAGGCGAAAGGCAGATAAATGTTTTGCGATCAAGTGGATCTGTGCTTGTCTTATTCTATTAACACAATGAGTTGATATATATGTGGATGGGATGCATCAACATTTTTTACGCAGCATGGATATCTGCAAATGAAAATTTCAAAAGAAAGGTTTCAGAAAAAAATTTAAGGGTGAATAATTCGATCATACATATGTGAGATCGAAGATAGGCTATAAATCCCCTAATTAAAAAATTGCAAGGCTGAAAACTCAGCTTCGTGTGAAGTAAGGATAATGACACATTTTCAAGCGTTTTACTTGGATATGTTAGTCAGCAGGCCAACAGGGGCTCCCTACATTCAACGCTCTGTTTCACTACAGTGAAACCCGGTGTTCACCAACGTTGACACCAACACGAGATAAGAACACTGGCGCCTCGTTGCCGCAAGAACCAATCAATTTATGTGAATTAACTCACAATTCAAAGAAAGAAATGTGGGAGAAGGGTAACTCGGGGCTAACCTAACGCAAATGTCGAAGGTGCCTAAACCTCCCAACGCTCAATCAAACAATCTAGATAGAAACTGACAGCATGAACGTCACTGACGTTGGTTGGTTGATACATCATCCAGTGTCTCCAGCAAAGCAAGGGGTGGAGGGGGTCACGTGGACCCTACCCTGGATGGCGGACGGCACCAACATTGACCAAACTTTTCATGACATCATTCATTCCATGCTGGCATAGAATATTTTGTCTTTCTTTAGGTTTCACCATTCAGAATAAGAACTAAAAACAGCGCTTCTTTCGGCAGGCAGTAACAAATGACCCAGTCATCATAGCTTATAACGTTGGACGCATTCCTTGAGTGAATTACCGGTTTCCTCATTGCTATTTCGAATTCGTTTTTTCCAAGTCTCGCGGTCGTACAAGAGTAGAGTCCGTACCATTTTGAAGTTTGCGATTTGGGTAACGTCAATGGCTTGAGTTAAGTCCATACCTTGATCAAATTCCACAGCTGAAACGTCTGAGTACATTAAAATACTAGCATATATACAAGACCCACACTTACGGCTAGAAATCACCATATACAGACCTCCCGAGTCGGTCTCATCGACTCCAAGGCGACTGAGGCAACTTTGTTTCTGGACTAAACGAGAAGGGGATGAGGAGTTTGGATATGGTTCATGGGTGTCTTCCGAGTAGTCCATTAAATTTTCCAGCCATCTGACAGCAGGCTCCCATCTTTGAGGAAACTGGGAGAGGTAGGAGGTAACCGCATCGGTCTCCGATGATAGCTGGACAATAAACTTCATGCATTGATAAGCTCTGCGAGGATCTTGATACGCCTCATTGTTGATCAGATCTGCGATGAAAGTGACAGGTGAGAAATAGATCGGGTTGGTCACAGGGGTAAGTTTCCTACGAATACTCTAAGTCATGGCAAGATATACAATGTTAAGATGCTCTGATCAGTACGTTTTGACAGATTTTCAGTGTCTTCAATGAGTCAGTCGTGGTTGTGGGGTTGCTTGAATCTGAAGTATAAGACGGAATACCATGGGGCAGCGTCCACCTGTACATACTCAGTTCGGGAGTAGAGTGGTATGGGTTTCATTCCGTGATGATGGCTTGGAAAAAAGCAAGTCACAGATTCCACCTGGATAACAAATGATTAGGTTACTATAGCATGATCGATTGTTTAATGCTCAGTGTGAATGCTCCACTGTGAATGATCATGAGTAGTGAGCGAAGGGCAATGAAGCTTTTCGGAAATGTTTACCTCATGTGACCAAGACGTCGAGTAAGAGAAACAAGTAACCGGCATTGCAGTTTAGGAGTGACACTAAGAAACCAAGTGTTTTTGGCTATGCAGTTCTTCCGGTGTGGCCAGCAACATGGGCATCAAAGAGACAAAACTCTAGCAAATAGGATACATAAAGTAAACAAATATACTCCGTTGTCATTTCTGAGCAAAGGACAAGCTGGAAACCATCGACGATATTGAAATCTAACGCTTCGTTTAACCATGAGAGAGACTATATAACACAGAAGGGAAAAGAGAGTTGCCCTTAGTTAACATACGCAACAATCCTTTGGGAAGAAGTGGCCTTGCGTGGTCGTCTTCGCCCGTAGAATCGTCATTTGCAGCCGCGCCATGCAGTTGAGCAGCTGAAATCGCTGCCGAACTCAGCTCTATCTCGGCTGAGTCCCATGCCCATAGTGCCGGATCTGCATTAGGTCTGGGGCTCCACGGTGGAATCCACTGCTCTATTTTTCCTTCACTTGCGTCTGTCATCGGAGGTACGTCAGAATGCGGGTGACTGCAATCAACGAGTCCGTCCACAACAGCTGCTATTCTCGCCTTCTGTAGCGGATCCACTAAACGAAGCAACTCACTAAGTAGGTCAAATAAGTGACGTAGTTCACTTTGAGGACGCGTGCTGACGCGGGAAAGGAGCTGTAGTAGGAACCGATGTAAATGCGATTAGGATACAATTCACTTGTTAATGGTTTGTATAGGCAAATAAACCCAACTGTACAGTCAGCATAAAAGGGAAGAAAATCGCGTTCCGAAACTGAATGCATGCCATTATTCCATAGTTTAAAATAAACTAGAGGATTTAAGCTCCATCAGGGAATATTCGGTTAGGAATGTTCATACGTACGGAAAACAATTATCGAAAGCAAAATGAGCCCGAAAGTGGGCCTACAATCCGTTCAACATTACTGGAGCATACTCGGTTACCGAGAAATTGAAGAGCGAAGACGAAACGACTATCAGGGCCAAGTAAAAATGTGCACAGGAGTATACGTTCGTGAGGACTATGTGAGGGGGGCAAATACCTGGAGGACTCAGCAAACGCGTGTCGCAATACAAAACGAAAGAAGAACAGCAACATGGTGAAATATTACGCCAGCTGCCTTTTGATCTACAAGCCCTGTATGTGCATATGCTGTCCACAGACCACAGTGATGACTGCTGCAGACTGAGCAGCAGTTTAGTTGGCTAAGACAAATTTGCTGGTTAGACCCTCAAGAGTGGCCTTTCCCAAAAGGACAAATTACAGGAACATATCCAGCGCAAGTCGCTGTGCTGCAGGACCGATACTGTTGCCCTGCTGTTTCAAAATGATAACGTATTCCAGTATAAATAATCGCTTCTCAGCTGTTTATACACGAACGGTTGTTTTCACTGAATTCCGATTGTTAGTCAAACTAAGTAAGCAAATTTATGGAAAGCATAGCCTCTGATTGCTCAGCAATCCCTGGGCTTCAACATTATTGAAAGCAATCCTCTGTGAAGTTGTCTAAAACACTAAGTTGCGGAGGAGAAACTTGATTTTAGTTGGGGTGGGAGATAATTCTGAAAGCTTGACGGGCTTTCAGTCATGGAATATACCTACACCCAAGTGCTTCCCTCTCATTCCGGAGGGCAAAGGCGCATAACATGAATGCGCCATGGCAGTTTGCATCTTACCGAAAACATGGAAATCACTGCTTCAACAAACACACGTACTACAGAACGTTCCCGCATGGTACGAAGATTTCTGAACCAATAGAAGACAACAATAAATGATTTCACATGACACTAGTCATAAGGTTGGCGAAAACTCTGGTCGCTTTTTGGCCCATTTGGAGCACATCAGAGAGGTCTTTTCTTCTAATGTCCATCAATCTTATCCTCTGGTTAAACACAACTGAAAATGTGCGTATTCATTCTAAAATTAGGCTGAAGTTAACGTGAAACTCAACGGGATCCCAACGAAATCTGCATCGGAAATCGGTTCTAAAACACGAAAGGCGTATGGATCAAAGAACATGGAGCGCAAATATTGCATTGCGTATAAATTTGCAAGTGAAGATCATTCGATCTTACCAAAATAATCATGCAGCACGAAGATTCCCACGAACAATAAGAAAGGTGCAATATCCCTTGTCGAATCAACTGACGAAGAGGAATACTTTCATCTACTGCTTTTGCGGCCGTCTCACTGGAGGTTGTCTTGACAGTAGTACTAACAAAAGCAGCTGCAGAAGCACCAGAGGCAGTGGCATCTACAGATGAGGCAGTTCCACTGCCCGGGTTAACACATATACTGGGAACTGAACCAGATGTCATAGAAACCCCGGTCAGTCCGAGTGAGGAAGCCAAGCTGGGAGTGGCTGGGTTTTCCAAATAGGCTCGGAGAAGGACCTCGCAAAAACGGTAAAGACCAGTTAGGTAAGAATCTTTCGAAGGCAAAAGTGGGGAAGCAGCAGTGGGTTTGCAAAGTGACGAGACTGCAGAGTTCCTCAAAGTTGGCCTCGTTCTTGTTGAGTTTTGATTCCAGCTGGGATGATACAACCCCAGCCACGCTAGGGTTTCCTTCTGAGGTCGAAGCATTAAGGGTGTGAAGGTTTGTTTTGGCGGAGTGTTGCCGTCAACTCCAGCGCTGTTGTTGGGGTTATTAGGATCACACGGAGGTATTTCTAGGAGAGAAAAAAAGGTTTTCCTGAAGGATACTGAAGATAGGACACTGGACAAGATGAGCAAAAAGGACATCCGGTTACCTAACATTAAATTTACGAAGTTGCAAGATCGTCTCTGCGATTTTACTTGATGAATTTTGATATCCGTTCAGAAATGTCAGAAAAGTGGAAGATAACTGTTCGATCTAGAGAAATGAACTTCATTCAAGAGGCCAGGTCAATCGATATTGAAAAAGATATTGAAAGATATCGAAAGATATCGAAAAAGATAATGTACAGCTGTTTCTTACTGGTGCAGGATCATTTGCAGTGTGCAACTCATGAAAACTAAAAAGATTCAAACCTGTAATATTCCCAACCAGGATGAAGTATCTATGCAATACTTCTCGTCGTTCTGGCGTAGAATGATATTGATTACATTATGGAACCTTGTATTTCAATCCTTTCAACCCAATCATTCTTGTCGTGGTTGAGTAGCGAAATTTATCAAGCGGGAAAACAAAGATACAGGGAAAAAATAAATGCGTCAACTACCGCAAAACTAATATGAGGTAGCAGGGTATTCGCCAAGTATTCAGTGCCAAGCTGAAACAGAAGTAATAGGAAGAAATAACGCGGATTTCCGAGATAGTGCATCAACTTGCAACGAAGTTCTTCATGTATCCGAGTGACATTGCACACTGTGGAAGTCGCAAGGTTTACTACCGTTGATAACGGTTATGGTCAGTTAACAGAATTAGACTAAGACGCGGCTAACCACGTTGTTCAACCGCAAAGGCGCGAAGTTGAATGAGCATCCTCAGGAGTACAGTTGCTACATCACGCATCCGATAATTCGCGTCTACAACCGGGTACGTCAATCTGCTACAATAAATATACTTGAATACGGCGTTTTCATGGAAAAGAAGAACAGACTTATCATTCCGAGATTATTTCATACCCAACAACACGGAAATATTGTCGCTAAGACACGTGGTCAAAGATTATTGAGACCAGCAACAAGGTTGACAATCGGTTCAACTGGAAATTATAGCCGAGTTAGCAAAGACGAATGGAGATGAATCGACAGGGTGGTTATTCCCTACAGGAAATAGCACCCCAGGAAAACCTAAACGAAACTGGTCCACTTTCGAAAGCAGTGAAAATTGCCTCTTCTCAAGATGCTTTGTTTAAAACAATATCATACAGTGTTAGGTCAACGACATGCATATAGGTGATCTACAATTTTCGTTTTTATTGACTTCAAGAGTCAATTCAATTCTGCCAACCGACACGTTCTTTTCAACACACTTGCAAAACAGTCTACGCCCCGTAAATGCGTGAAAATCACTTACTCTTTATGTTCATGTGCCACTGTGCGCGTGAGAGTGTATGGGTAGCTGTTGAGTAGCCTTCCTACAAGCAGAGACTTTCGACAATGATATTTACTCTCCGTTTTTTTACTCTCTGTTTGGCTCCGTTATTGATGAGGTAATGAGGCGAATACTACAATGTCTCCAAAGTCTGACGTCAGATCTCTAGGAACGAGAACTCCGTCAACCTGGAGGGTGAAGATGACAATATTCTCACTCTTGAAAAACTGCAGAAATTGTAAGTGATGCTGAAAAAGCTGACTGATGTCATCCAGTCCTTCTACAAGTGCTTCGTATTCAACATTTTCAATTATGGTGCGCGATATATAGTCGATCAAAATGGCTCTAGAAATTTACGGAACGACCTTTGGAAGTTATGAAATACTATATGTATCTGAGACGTCATATTGACAATGACGGTAGTGTGGCAGACCAAGTCGACCTAAGAATCTCAACAGTCAGAATTGCTGTTGGCAGAGTGCGTCACTTCTGGAATCGGAAAGGCATATTGAGTGGGTCTCAAAGAATGCGTCTATCAAGGTACATTGAGGGTTGCATTTTTGTACGGCTGGCCAATGATATTGATATTATCAGGTCTTTCACCTTCGGTCTCAGAACAATGGTTGAAATCGAGAGAAATAAGTGAGAAATGGTGTGAAATGATCTTTCTTCTTGGAAAAATTCAGTCATGACTACTGAACAATTTAGCTAGGAACAACAGCTAGCTAGTCGGTCGCAGGACCGGAAGAAAATCAATAGGTCCCGTAAGTAAGGGAGTATGGACTGGGCGGGCAGTGCGGGGTTTCGACAGGTACAAAAGCAGCATAGTGGATGAAGTGAAGCGAACCAATAATTTGTCCAAAGTATAGGCATCAAAACTGAACTGTGTCTAGCGTAGTTCAATCGTTTGTTAACTCCTTCGCTAACAAATACGTTCCTTCTCCAGAAAACGTACAGTGAGAAAGTTTCTGATGTTCGATCCAATGGAGTGAATAAAATGTAACCTGGAGGTACACCATGTGAGGGCTGACTTTCAAACTGTTGTCTTGTCATAGGTGGCAAAGCCGGAACAACCTAATACTGGCAGTCCGACAAATGTACGTATGTCCAGAAACAAGATCGGTTTCCCGCTCGTTTTCGAGTTGTACCAAAGTCACCGTTGTCCGGAAATACAGGATTTGGTGGATCAGATCCCTTCGACCCTCGTAAATGCGTTAAAATCAATTCCCATTCACAAGAAACCGATTAGACTCCTAATGGGTGGTACAGAACTGGATGAAATGGGAACGGTTCACTTTTAGGTTCAAAAGCGCGTTCGAAGAAGTATCCCCCAAGTAAATGTTAACACAGAAAAGAACCTCACCTAAAAGGGTCATCATATCCGAAACTCAGGTGACTTTATGAAACCTGATAGTACCCAACTTTCGGTGCGTGAGGAATGTTCCCCGAAAATGTTGAACAGTATACGCGTCAGCAGCTCTTCTCCAGGCTCTGATATGCACACTTTTTTTAAATCTGAACCAATCAACGTAGGAACGCTCAGGTTACCAATGAGTCGAATGAAAGGGTACGAAAGTGAGAAATGTGGTTAAAAGCGAAGTGGAGGATCGGATTACTCTGTGTTCACTTGGAACTTCGGGGCCGCTCGATCTGATCAAATTGTCTGGTCCTCACGCCAAAATCAGCCACCCAGGGATGCAGTGGCGAGGAATGTATTACGGTGCCAGTTACGTTATTTATATGGGTCCGAAATGACATGCACGATCGATGAAGCCAAGGAAGTGAAACGCGCCGCAACTTACCCATCCCCAATTCAGTTTTACAAGTTTTGCGGCGGGTGTGACAATCAGTTCAGCAAGCAATACTTTTTCCATTACTGCATTGTTTGGACTGGTCAAACCAAATTAATATGAGAATAATAAACAGTTTCGTCCGGATGCCAATAAACTTACTGATGGTGCGATACTCGTCAAAGCACGTGTGTAAAATGAAATAGATAAGTATATAGTACAGATTTCCCATTTCTCGTTGCTGAGCTGGTGTCCAAGATCGCAATTTATCCGCCTGTAAAAGGGTGGAGACAACAGGAAAAGAAAATGCACTAGTTTCTGTGATCCATAGCAGACAAAACAAGAGACGCGGATCACAAGCAAATCGTGGATTCATTTTGTTCGCTAGTTTCCCTTCAGCTGAGGGGTTTAGGAGAACAAATTTATTGGTATTCTTATACAGAGATTTTGTGGTGGAGGACTACTGTAACAAACTTACGTAACTTACAATATTTTACTGTAAATCATAGGTCACCAAGGTTGTACGACCATGTCCAAATCGGCAACGAATTTTCGAAGTGGAAGACAGCCGATCGCAAGGCTCAACTGAGTTGGATTCCATTTCAAATACGCATACGCACAGCGGCTTTTATGCGGAGTTTTCCTGGTTCGGTCGGAAATTCATATTACTATCCGAAGCACCTGATTATGTAGTCCTAAAAATTGCTTTCCTCCTGGAGTTTCACTGTAGCAGCAAAATGCCGCCAAAATACACTTCACAGTTGTGCGCGGCGCCGTCTCCCGATCAGCTCAGACGATCGCGTTCCTCCTAGCCGGCAACATCAAGGACAGCTTATCCTCATTGAACACTGTCAACCCGTAAACACAGCTGGTGATTGTCAGTTATATCAGGCCTTCTCTCCGAAACATCCGAAGGTCACATACAGAAGGGGATCAACAATAGCAATGTTGACAGTACATCAAAACTTAACATTATAACAAGTTACAGAGTGCCCAACTAGTTACCGGCAGATGGAAGGGCAGTCCAGGTATCCTCGCATCGAGGCAACGTTGTACACTATTAATTCATTGCAGTTTGTAGCGTAGAAAACCTAATGCAACTGGAAGACATAGGGCGCAACCGAATACCCGTCGTGATCGTTCACTTGTGTACACAATAACGTGGGTTGCGGTGCTCAAATTCGACAAACCTGAAGACATCTCGGAACTTCTGTACAAGAAATAGTCTGGCGGCAACAGCAGGTTTAACACATTGTAGTCAGAGTTACTATATATTCCAAGTGGGGTCGAGTAGCCCCAGAAATCTCCCACTTCAATCTACTTGGGATCCAGACATCTGGGAATGCACGCTCATTGCAAAAGGCAAGCAACGGGCCGCTGGCCTGTTGCGACAACGGTAAAATGTTTTAAGGAAGCGATGAAAATCAAGTAGCTACAGGGTTGACTTACAGAAAATGCCCACCCTGACAGATTCAGCTACAAGCTGAACCGTTTACTTGACATCGCCAACCGACAAAATAGAACGATTAGAAACGAGGTGATTCAAATGGTTCTTCGTTAACGGTATTATAAAGATTGAAAAGTCAAGTTTGACTAGTGCCAGCGAACATGAGTGAAAGGTGGCCGCTTGGTGGGAAAATTACGCAAGATACATGGCAGTTGCTGGTTTTAGACACCTTATATCCGATTCTTACCAATGAGCGAAGTACAAAGAGCCCCTAAGCTTCTCGGAACACAGTAAATCAATTATCCATTAAGGTAAACGCATGAAGAACTGGATTGTTTCTCAATCCTACTGCATAGCCTTTAACAATTCAGCGCTCACTGGAAGATCTCATAAACCGATTGCTGTCACGGGTTATTACGTCAGACTTTAGTCCCTAAATGACTACCCTAGAGTCAAAAGCCCTGCGTTTAAAAAACCTACCCAAGTAGGGGCGCTGGCATTGAAGGAGGCAGCATAGGAAGAAACCTGTGAATCCCAACAATCGATTTTTTGTGGCGGTTCCATAAGATAATTGAGCAATCGCCTAGTTGTTTTCAGGTTGACCAAATGGAGGCAGGAGTGGGAGCACATTTCTGTGTAACCTCGAAGTAAAGCGAAAAGGGCGCCTGCCTCAGTGGCATGTTGAGCAACGATACCAGAGTCCACCAAACCAAGCAAGTGGTTGATGAAAACCGTCAGTGTCCCATCCAACTGAAACATAAAAAACCGGGATAAAATGTGAACATTCGGATCATATCGTATCATATCGGATCATATCGTATCGTTGTCACATCTGACGGGGACTCCCATGCGAATTCAGTGGGATTTGGTTATTAATGGATAGTCGGATAATATGTTGTTATCGGTTTACACGTGGTCTTTGGGATAGTTTGTCTGACAAAATTGCTTTCCAGTTCAGCCAAAAGCACGCATTTTGCGCATGTACATCCACCTGAACACCATGTATCCGAAGAAATGAGACCGGACGATGGATAAAGAAAGGCCGATCTAGAGTCATCGGCGTACCAAACTGGTGGATCATAAGTGTCAAGTGTGGACAACTGAACAGTTCAGACACAATGCACGTGAAAGGCAGTCATATAGCCAGCGCCTTTCATGGATCCTACGTAAGCACACTGACTAGCTATAGTTCAGTTTGGTTTGTAAAACAAGTATTTCTAGTACAACACAACAGAATGTCCAGAGCATCAAGGTCGGCAATTCGCACGTCTATGCACGTGTACGTAAAAAAATCGAATTCATACGTCATATAATAAATGATACGATGCACGCAATATACCAAGCAACAGTACAATATGACGAAACACAATACCGTTTAAACCAAATTGTGTAATGCATCCATAATACGAGATACCAATGAATAGAGACGGACAACCAGGAAATCCCCACAAGGAGCTTTGAATGATGAAACACTGATTTAGGCCATAAAGAGATGAGGAAACACCTAAGACCGGTTTTACAAAAGCTCCCCAGCACTTACGATGTTTGTTTCCTTGAAGGAGTAGAAGACACGCAACACAGTGAGCAACATATTAGCCAACTGCTGGCGTGTGCCTGGTTTCGGGGCAAGCAGAAGGTAAACACTGTTTGGGAGAAAGAAGGTAGTGAGTGAAATCTTGTGAGGATTTTAAAAAGTAGCCATTCGGGAAGACAGCATAGAATTCAGAAAATTCCATTATAACGAAACATCAAAATTAGAGCGCATGGTGGAAATGAACATTTTTAAGCAGCTGATTTTTCACCAATATTCGACTAAGCGAGATACCACAAAGCATACTGAATCACTGAGTAAAATAGAAGTTAAGGCCCGACATCCAAGTGTCGTGGCGATTCAGGCGATTCTTAAAGAGCCGATCTATGTAAACCATTTCTCATCCACGCTAGGATGCGCAAGTTCCAGATACCCATCATCCATCCTACAACATAGGCTATCTCAACTTTATGCACAAACGCGAAGAGTAGGTAATTTATCCGCTAGCGCGATATGCAGACCGGTCAGTGAGTACGCCTTCAAAATTGTAATGACGGCAGAATCGGGAGTTTGCTCAACTCGTTCAATTCAACCAAGACGACGTGGACAAGCCTTTCGCCAGCTTCTAGTGCCTTCAACCGCTTGGAGGAGGACTTTGCTTTTTGGAGTACCCAGTCCGTCCATGTTAACACAGTAGCCCTATTGTGTTCACTGAGTGTGACGGGGGGTGGGCATTTACGGAGAGCATTGACCACCAGGCTTCACTTAGATCAGTTGATTTACGGCTCCGCGGCAAAGTCACGACACAATAGTGAAAAAAAAACAGGAAAATGAGAATTATGTCCGGAAACGGTATAGTCAACTGGACAGTCCGTCGTTCTGTAAACGTGAAATGCAGACATCCTTAGCAAAATGTTCTTGACAGTTGATTGAGTTATGCAACCGGAATTCCGGATGCATGAGGAGACCGGGGCGTCATAGCAACCGTCGAATTTACCGGTCTGTACGTGAGCCATCCTAGAAACAAGCGGCAGTCAACAAGGTAGTAGGTTTGACGCGCTTGCAGAAAATACGAACGACGCGACCACCAACACTGGAGTAGCTGATTATCATATCGACGCGACGAAGGCATTTTTTGAGATCAGCTTGTGCTTCTGTGGTCTGTTCAGACAACAACATTACACCTGAAATCGAAGGGGAGCAATACTTATGAGTACACGAGGGAAAATGTACAAATCGCACCGAAAGTCCACTTTCATGTGAAGCAGTTCATCTGCCAAACAACAGGTGAACGGAATACATCACATGTATTAAACAAGCATGCCAAAAGTACGCGAACTGTAATGTGCAGGAATCCCAACTACTAAGTGAGGGACCTACAGAGAAAAGGCCTGCAAGGAGTTGGTTCCTTGGAGGACAACAACTTGGCCAACTGTTTGAATCCCATAACAAGCTCCGCCCTAAAACAGCCCGCTTCTATGTAACACACTAAGATTTACCAGCCAATTGACAAACACAGAGGTCAGTCACGAAGAGAGTAGATAGTGGCGGTGTGGCGGTTTGTGTAACTCGGCGACTCATTGAGTTATACCGGAGGGGGTGTCCGCACGACACTCACAGTCTCTCATACCAGGTTGATCAATGGGTAAAGGTCTGGGGGTTGGAAGTTAGGACATGTGTGGCGATTCGTTTTACAAAAATAGTGATGGACATGCATTTCCGCCAAGCATTGCTGCCTTGCGGTTATGTTCTTGAGCTAAAGGCTTTGGTTAAGGACCCTAATCGTCATTCTGACTAGGTGTGGGTGCCCCGGCAGTATCTCAGCCCACGTACAACCATGATATTTACAACAATAATGTCATGCTATATCAGCAATCGTGTGCAGCCACCAGCCGGGTCGTCTTACTTGCCGCATACAGCAGAAGAGATAAGTGAAAACACTGCTACCGCNCTTACACTCCTTGCACACTCTTTCTTCCTGCCCCATCCAAGTTGGAATACTCTCTCCGCCGGTCCAAGCACTAGGACTGACCGTTCTCTGTGTCAGAGTTCAGTAACAACCTAAAACACTTCGAAGTCTGTTTCCGAAACCCTAAAGCCTGTCTACTTACCCGCCTTTAATGTTCGCGCACTGAAGCAGGCAGGACAACACGTGGCTCTTGCTCGTACTCTGGATTTCCTTTGTCAGAAACAAGGATACAAGCCCCATGGTCGAACTGCCTCCGTCACTCTGTTCTACGTTCCGGCTGCGCACCTCTGGCAATGCAAAAACCGCTGCAGCTGGATATGCTGGGACCGAGCGTAAGCGTCTATTCGTTATTGGATGCATGTTGATAGTCGTGTTTGCGCGGTTCGTTTGGCAACGTCCGTGAGAAAGTAAGAAAGAGCAAAATTTAGGTCCATTACACCCTGTTTATTGTGTGTGCTTACGGTCCAACTGACTGCAGCTCTGAATCTGCCAACGTTTCTATTTCCTTTGTCAGAAACAAGGATACAAGCCCCATGGTCGAACTGCCTCCGTCACTCTGTTCTACGTTCCGGCTGCGCACCTCTGGCAATGCAAAAACCGCTGCAGCTGGATATGCTGGGACCGAGCGTAAGCGTCTATTCGTTATTGGATGCATGTTGATAGTCGTGTTTGCGCGGTTCGTTTGGCAACGTCCGTGAGAAAGTAAGAAAGAGCAAAATTTAGGTCCATTACACCCTGTTTATTGTGTGTGCTTACGGTCCAACTGACTGCAGCTCTGAATCTGCCAAATAACGTTTCTATGACTCTGAGAAGCAGGTGGATGCAGAAATGGAACCGAGCTATCAGAACGAGCTCTTCGACAGCCTGCCGGACGATCCAAAGTTGGATATAAAAGGTCACTTGGAAAAAACATCCAACGCGATACTCAAAGCCGGAATTTCTGTTTGGCGTACAACCCAGCCAAATTCATCAAAACACTGGATTTCTGATAAGAGAGTATCTTTGCTGGAGGCCCGGCGACAGTCTTCCTGGCCGCAACGTCAACCACCCGACACTAGTTGAGTCTGAGTATTCGTATGGACCGAGAAGCTCGGTGGATCCGAAAAGCCGAAGAAATAAAAGATGCGAAAAATGCTGGGAATGTCCGAAAGTTGTTCCATTTGATTCGTTCCACTGGTCCTCGGGAAGTCAAGTCGCCTATTGACTGATTTGCGGATGAATGCATTCCATCAATAGTAAGTAGCTACTCACCCATGTCATGTGGTCTCCAATATATGGGCTCATTAACCAGTTTACCAAACGTTCTTCAATTTGACGGGAAGATGACACTAATTAACTCATCAACTCACAGTTGTTCCAAACATTTACACTTCAGAATTCAGGAGTTCTGGTCGTTTTAGATAGCGCAGTGGTGGTACGGAACAGGTCACAGAAGCAGCATTATATTGCCCCCCCCCTGGTCCTCTTACTGCATCACAGTGTTACCTTAAGTCGAAGAATGTTCCTTATTAATCGTTCACTTGGTTGGTCAAACGGGTCTACGCAAAGAAAGCAAAACTTATTACGACCATTTGGACCATTGTATGAGGAACTATTATATTTTCAATGAAAAGATGGGAAACTGTCGACACGATCGAAGTGAGGGGTGAGTATGTTTCAGTGGGTGTAAAATAGTAATCCCCATCAAGTGACTAGAATAATTTTCGATGCCTTAGGCTCATCAACGTGAGAGAGCACTAGCCTGTCTTCACAAAAGTTTGCCTACTCATAAGTAGGTCAATGAGTAAAACCACATGCAGGGTGAAACGAGGATGTATCGCCAGAAAAACGTATAAAACTCATCCAAGATGCAAAACAGTACTACGAAGACGAAAGCCTCATTTACACATCGGAACGACCTGGCCGGCCAAAACAATCTGGATCAGGCAGATCTAAGGGTAATTTGAACGTTTTTTTATTATGCTTGTGCCCCATGACCATAAACCTAAAAAAACTGATAAAACAGTACCCAATTTCAAAAGTATTGTCTAAATACGCTCTGAGCCTTCTTGCTTTCTTAGGATTGTTTAGGCTTTTCAGTAAGATACTGACAAGTTGGTATCCAATGTCCCTGGTGTCTTAACCAATGACGTGATTTGCTCGTGGCGAATAGAGGGTGGTAACAGAACTACTCAGATTCAAAAGCAAAGGGAACTGTTATTTGGTAAGCACAGGCTCGGTAATGAGCGGGAATAGTGTACTGTGGCAAACAAATCGGGCTCCAGAAAGCTAGGACGTTGAAATATAGGTAACTCAGGTACCATGGACCAACTTAACTATTCACGTCCCTTTTCCTTGAAGTTCGTTGATACAAGCAAGTTAGGAAATTCCATTACCCAAAACCCTGTTGTGAAGCGACTGAAATGCACTGATATGAAAACGCGTCTTTTTACTTGGACTTCATTTTCTTGGGGTATATGTTGAGATTGAACAGCGGAGTGGAATGTGTGTAAAACATGTACAAATTTGACTGCATAGGAGACTTACAGGCATGGTTGCATCGGATTGGTACTCATGTAATGCATCAACCATCGACAGGCCTTCGGACTGGTACTAGCCAACCGTACCAGTAAATCCATCCATTCAGAATTCTGCTGAATGGACAAATCCTTCAATGCTTGCATATTCATTGTCTGCCCCTCAGCAAGTGCCCCGGAAATCTTTGCCTTCGATCGTGCGTGGAGACAAATGAAACTCGTGAAAAAGAAATGAGCCAGCAGTCGTGTGCCCATTAGACCACGCTGTGGTTCTTGGCGCAGGCTGTTACCATCCTCCTGAAAAGGACAAAGATCGAAATGAGGTAAGATAAATCAGTTCGTGGTGCCGCAGAGGCCACCTATAGGTTGTACTAGGGGGCGATATAGCTCAAATGATTAGACAGCAAATTTGCTGACCCGGAGGACCGTGGTTCGAAACCCACCTCTACCTTTCGACTTCCCCTGTCTGGGCTTGGGCAACCTGACAGTATCCCAGCCCTCGTGCTTCCTTCGGGTGGCACGGCAGCAGGGCGCCGAAAAGGCGCTATAGCTGAACGATTATTATTATCATAATAATAATTATTATTATTACTAGGCGGCTCATCACAACCAAATGGTGGCCAGCAGCCGAGCGTTTATTCTATCGTTCACCATTTTGCTGAAAGGAGGCAACAGAAACTCAAAGATATAACCGAAGTTCCCCTGTTGGCTATACCATGATTTATCAGGCTAGCGGAGTGGTACTAAGACATACCACAGCGATTCCATCACATTACACAAAACTAGGATGCCGAAAATGCCACCTGTGAGGTTTCGTTTACGTGCAAGCTTTCAACACCAAGGGCTGTTGTTCGATTCGTAGTGATGTCCTTTGTAAAACCTTGACTAACTTGTTATATTCGCATTGCTTTTCAGTATTGATATTTCGAGTTACTGGGTTTGGCATGACAAGTTCAAAATATTCACCTGCAAAACACTGATACAGAAACTCAGACTACCTAGTCAACACGCCAGTGAAATAGCTATTTGTGCACTTAGCGGAATGAATCACTAAGTAAGCTCCGGAGCTCCTAAATATGTTAACGAGATACAATCGAAACCCCTTAGTCTTGAAACATCGTTTGTGAGTGGGTGTGATTGAAGTTCACGGATGATCAGACCCCCTAAGCTCATTTTACCGTTGGATCACTGAAAATCCGGGACGGAAACTCCCATCAAGTGGAACACAAGGTTGACGGGAACTCAGGGACTGCGCCTACCTGATGAGCCTCAAGAGGGACGAAACCCATCGTGGGCTGTCGAAGAGGTTTTCAACAACCTAATGAATAGTGTGTTGCGTCTAAACAATATTATCAATCTAGTTCATCCATCGTTCCCGTTCATGGGTGTCATAATGGTAATAATAAAGACAAACCGCCGATCGATTATTTCTTCATCTGTTCACATTTAGCAAACCAGTATCAACAAACTTTATCTCTCTTATGAATTGGTGCCCAATGCATAACACTGATGCAAAAACATGGCTCATATTCTGATGAATCGCATGGTACCACGAAATACTAGAAGACACTCAACAACATACCATGTATGTGAGGAAAAAGCATATAGTTAGATAAGGACTAACAAAACCGTGAGACAAATGTACCACCGACAAACAGGCGGAAAGCGTTCCTCAAAGGATTTTTCGTCTTGTTTGACGGTCACCTAAAGTTGAATAACGTACCAGAATCCCTTCGCACAACCCGCGGATCAGTTCGAAGTAGTCACGAGAATACACATTACGATGACGCAGAAACGTCCAGTTTTCAGCCCAGATGCGCTGAGCTACTCTTCTGGGCATCAAGCATCCGGATTCAAACGTGGTACCGATATCGTTTCCCTGTGCGGGCGAGCCGAGTAGTTCAGTGGACTCCGTTTTGCTTTTCTGCGTACATATCATGTTCGAACTTTCGTTCTCCGTTGGCTCATTCAGGGTAAATCGTAGGTGCGGATGTTTTGGTGAACCTGAAAGCAGCAGTTTTGGTGAAGAGGCAACTCAATTTGAACCGACATCCAATCAAGAACAAGCGCGCTTATAAATGAAGCGATTCGGTTATTATTATAACATCAAGGTAGTTTGATAGATATGGTTTCCTGAACTGTTTCGGCGGAGGCTACTGAAAGCATCATTTTCTACTGCACTAGTTAATGTAGGAGCCATTCTGTGCCATTAGATTCTGAAAGAAGTTAGCATATGCTGCTCGCCGTGTTCGGATGGAGGCTGCAAATCAAGTTAGATGGTGTTTTTGCTATGACAACATAGGTGAGTTGTCCGACTGGATGACTATCTGTAAGCAGGATTGAAATCAGCCCTTCTTCTCCCGGGTGATTCCATGAAACTACCAATGAACACTGAGACAGGAACACAACTTACCATCCTCAGGTCGTAAGCGTGGTTCCACCGGGAGAGACGTGAGAACACTGGCCTCTTGGTCCCAAGTTTCATTTGGAGATGCTTTCCCACCCAACAGAGTTCGCCTGAAAGCCGCGTGATTCAAATCGACGCGCTCGTAGAAAAGAAGATAGGCACTCCAGTACCGTGTGCGACGCTCGCAAGACCGGCCTTGAATAAATCAAAAACGTATAGCAAGCGAACTGGAACCCGGTAGATATGTATTATGCTGAAAATCACGTCCTACTAGAATGAATCGTCAGCGAAACGTTCGGATCGATTTTTCATGATCCTAAGTTAAATTGATTCACGGGCAACTTGGACAAGTGTACAAGCATTACCGTACAAGTAACACGATTAACAGTAACCTGGATATGTTACAGTGTACCAGCTCTCGGGTTCACATAGTTTGAAGCAGGTTTGTTCTGTTTGTAACTGTGGGACAAAGCTACAGTATGGATGTGAGAAGTTGAAAGTTCGTATGGATTCAACTAAAGGTAACAAATTTCAATCTTATGGAACAAATGCTGAGCGATAACACGGGTGTTCACAATGAGACGACTGGCCTGGTCAGTGCGGAATACAGTTGAGGAGACGGAAGTAACTGCATTCTACTGCATTTCGTGCTGACAGCTATGAACCCGTATAGCCGTGCCAATGAAAATTTGCTATGCGCATACACAAAGAATCGAAAAAGAATCAATTCGTCTCCTGAAAACAGTTTCTACCTGACCATAAAGCAGTACTCGTACGTTTTCAATATGCTTTGGAATTTCGCAAGAACATTTGGTATCCGCTCTATGTGATGGTCGGGAGGTTGGCTTACAGGTCATTTCCATCATGATGCTGAAACCAGTACGAAGGCTTCAGCTCGCCTTACAAAAGTCCCGTACTGTTCTTTAGTACACAAGAAGCCTTGTTGGTTATCATTCTGAAACTTGCATTGGCTTTTCCAATTCCCTTGACTTGATTGGTTGGACTGTATTTCGTTGCTTGTGTCAGCTAACTGCCATTTGTTTACAGTACTCCATTAGTTTGGCTGCATAGCTGACTAGAACAAACAGGCCACACTGATTTGATTAAATTGACATGCGTTCATTGCCAGTTGTACATTATGAACTACTCCGATGACTGATCGAACCGATTTTGGACAGTTATTGGCCAGTTCATTTGTTGCCTCGTAATGTGTTGTCGCTGCAGCTCGTCTATCGTTTTCCGATGATCTTCGCAAACTGTTGACTGGCCAGACAAAAGATAAAGAGCTGCGTTTGTATTCATTTGTAATCATTGAGCAATTTTTTCCGACCTTATGGAGACATACATTGGTCGAATAACGAGGCAGCTAGCAGGGAAAAAGTCTAAAAAAATACCGACAAGATTCCAGAGTTAGTATATATGTTAAGTGGAATTTCTTTAACGCATTGATGGGCAAGAGAGCCTGAACCTCTATATGAAGCTCCGTTGTAAATGCCTGAGGTGAACAGATGGAGAATGTTAGCAACCACAATCCGTAATCATAGGCCTATCACTTGTGTACAAAGATGCTTCTTTCAAACATTATCGCTCACGTGACCGGATGGTTGATTCTTATCCTCACGTGCATCTCGGTCTCCCAAAAAGGCGTGTCTCCTTTTTGGTCTTTTTCGCCTGACTGAAATCTACTCTAGTACGATCGATTTCATATAATTTATTTGGGTTTGAACCCGAACATTCACTCAAACTAAGTTTTCCCAAATAAAACAGTGGGAATGTTCCAGATATTTATACAAGGAAACTTGCAAAATAAGTAAAAGTTTAACTTAGGATTGCTATTGACACAGAAATATAACAGAAAATTGATCTATCTTACCATCATTTCCGGTCACTTTGTACGAGCCGCCAAAGCACTCATGTTCCAGAATGCTGTCAGTTAATTCCACCGGTTCTACGCACGTATCGTTGAACCGGTACCATCCAGTGTATGGATCATCTGTGAAGCTCGTGGATGCTGATGAGCGGTTTCTGCTGCAGCTGGTTGAGCTTTCCCGGTGTGACGGTGAAGTGCCCGGATCATTTCGTTGGCTAGACTGGAGCCCTTGATGTGCAGTTACATTTATGGATTTTTCTCCGACTTCCGTTTCCGATGGGTTGGCAACAACCGTACCAACTGGTACTTTTGAAGAATCCCTTTGTGATCTGCAGAAAAGTTTATGATGGACTATAGAAAAGATGATAGTCAAAATGCCAACAGGCAGAATCAAAGATAGATCAACCTATAATGCTACAGTGAAACAGGAGTAGGATGAATGAAATTCTGTTTGCTTCCTTCCGCGCAAGCATGGGCAACCGAAGGACGAACTTTTATTGGTGGACCCATCCTCGCGCACAAAGACAGTGCAAAGGATTGAAATAATTAGGTTTCATGGAGGCTTAGTCCAGTACAGTTGAGCTGATCATTAAGGTGATCAATATGGATAGATGGATTCTCTCAAGTATGAGCTACTGATGAGAAACGACCCATGGCTTTGGATTCATTATTGGATCCACCATGTAGACAGCACATCTGTCATCATGAATTGAGACTCCGTACGCATTTCGCATGAACTGCCCAACATCACGTTTAAAAAAAATAAATTTAGAGTTGAACTGGAAAATAACAACCGACTACCATTCTTGGATGTTTTAGTGAACAGGTGGATGAGACTCCGGAAACCTGCGTATACCGGAAGTAGACAGATGCGTCATTTGCCGAACAAGCACCTCAAATAAAACAATAATCGTTTTGAAGGAAACATCGGATATTCGCAAATGCGCAACGGTCCTCGAGCTTTCATCCCATGCTTCTCGTAACTTATGGCCGAATACAAAAAACTACTACAATTCGTCCCTGCTGTACATCTCGGCTTTTGACATAATACCAACGAGTCTACCCCCTGTAATTTACACACCGGGACTGCAGATATTCGGTGACACAACTGAGTACCCGTTCACATAGCTCTTGAATAGAGATATCTAGGTAAATTGTCAAGAATAAGAACTTCCACTTCGTCTTTGGTTAGCAGAAAGATTTTAGGAATCCCATCGCATCCCCTGTCACGCTGTCCACTCAACGTCATTCCTTGCGGAAGTTAGACGTTCTCTGTCAGATTCTTTTTAGAAATACATCTGGCTTTAAACGATTTAAATAAGTTAACACGTCTGCACACGAAAATTATTCTCGAGGTAGGACGAATGAAACCAGAACTCACCCTCACAGATGCGTCTGTCTGACGTGTTCTGAGTCAGGCCGCTCTCCCATTTTAACGCAAACAGGCTAACCGTGTCAGATTAGACCTTATTTCAACATGGCAAGTTACGAGTAGAACACGAAACAATTTTTAGCGTGGCGGCTAAAGTCTGAAAAATATGATGGAAACTTTGCTTTCCCGCTTATGTTGAGTCATATTTAGGGACAGTACGCATAGTCTGGATGACACCAACGTTTCGACTGCATCGCTTCTGAAACCACAATGTTCTCGGAAAACCATGAATACGTTTTGGTGGCTAGGCAGTTAAAACATAGTCATGAGACAGTAAACAGCATGTAAACATTCGTGAATAACCTTAAGATAAAACTACCTATGAGGTGCCATCTAGAATGTAACCAAGTTCTACATCAGTGGGAAGGTACGATTGTCTGGCACCGTTGTGACCCAGGAAAAGACAGAACTTACTTGCGATCACCTCGACCCCGATCTTTGATAAAAGCGTAATAGTGACCTGAGTTTGCCTGACCGGAGTGCACAACAATCCCAACCAGTCGATAAACATGCTGTTGTTGCTGCGTAAATGCCAAACCGGAACCCAGTTTTCGCACACCTGGTGGATGGCCCGAAACACCAGGTTCTGATTGTATCTTTGTCGAAGCGGTTGCATCTGATCGCTCTTGGACTGTGGTTGGTAGAACGGATGGATTGATACACTGTTTGCTTTGCGTTGAATCCTGAGATGATACAGGTGCTGTGACCTGAGAGGTAGAGTCTGTCGATTCACCCTACGTAAAGGTCCAGAATGACGTAAACCATTGGGTACAAATTCGGTTTAATCACAAAACCAAAATGAAAAGCAAAAGATAAACGACAGCTAGTAGTCAGTTGTCTGCAAGGAAAAATAAGCCGGAGATGTGCAACGGTTACTTCTCTCAGTGTTTTGCACATGACTGAAACGAGGCAACAATGAACCATCGATGTAGAACCTATACGGTGATTAACGAATATCCCTTTTTCTGAGACCAAATAGTGCTCTGAGTTGAGTTTACCACCTGCACATCTGTAGGCTGCGTTTAGAATTCCAAGGTTGGATTTCGTCCTGCAAGTGTAACCAATCCATGATGAAAGCTGCTTAGTGAGAACCATCACGAACTCAGTGTAGGGCTACAGGAAGATAGCTCTGTGAAGCAGACGGTCCACTGATATGCCCTAATCAGAGTAATCCATGAAGCGTGGGAAGCTTATCAATCGTGCGAAAGTTCCTTCTTTCCCAAAACGACCTGACATACTACAACACTGCTAATCCAATGACACAGCCAATGCTTCAGAGACAAGGGCCGACAGCACTTATATGATTGCCCAGGTAAAAAATGTGTACGAAGATGATTGGCTGTTCTTCAGACATGAGGTGCGGGATTGATCCCACCCAGTCTTGCAGCACCTTACTGCCCGCATTTACCCATCGCAGAGGACAGTACTAATTTATTCCGTAGCCGCATCACAACACGGGTACTGGGTCTCGTAACCCTCTCTCTGACTGCCCCCTTGGTCTTCCTGGTATGGAACGAAATTTTGGCCAGTGTAACGGCGGGATCATTGCAGCACTCAAGCCCGAACACCACATCCAGGTGGTAACTTTTGCTCCGGTCATGAGTATTAAGAATAGGTCAAACAATTACTTGTTTAACTAGAGTCTCCAAACATCCGTATTAATTTGTCCTATGTCATCATCATCATCCTTGTCAGCTGTAAGAAACACGTACTCGTCGTACAGTGGTTGTAGCTGCCGCAGTTTCGTTCACCGATTATTTGGGGGGGGGGTGGGGGAGG